GATCTTGCTCTGGACTAGCCATCTGTGGTACAATACTTGCAACCCTGGACAGTAGCAGCAAACCACAGCTCTCCTTAGACCTTGCAAGCAAGAGAGTAAGCAAATAATACTCTAGGATGTTGAGTAGGTTAGGAGCATTAAACGAATTTCCTATTCATGATGCTTTCAACTCACAGTGGTTTTATAATAAACCTATGGGCCATAACCCCATTGTAAGTAAAGGGATACTTGCATTTGTTGAAATACTACTTATCAATACTATTTGCCAAGCAACGTTTTAGGAATGAGATCAAAGGAGTGAACAAAATAGTTAAAAAAAAAAATCCCATTCCTCATGAAGCTTCCATTTGAATGCAATCTGTGCATAGGTAAAATTATTTCGTGCTCAGATCAGAACTAAGTCCTGCCTGCCATTAAAATTGCTCCAGGAAGAGATTGCCTTGAGAGTACTTACTAAAACAGGACTTGGCATTACTTCAAGCTCGAAATGTGCTGACGGAATTAAAAACCTGTCTGATGCTGATGCAGCAGGAAAATCACAGGAGCAGGAAATAGCACTTTCTTAAAATCAACATAATACCAATTCCCAGTCCCCCTGGGCCACAATGGCTGGCTGTCAGCTAAGTCCACTGCACTTGGGAGTTTACAGATGTCCTGGAGTTGCCCAGCAACTCTGGGGGGTCCTGTCCCCCTTGTGTGCTGCTCTTACTGAGAGAGCTGGGGTCTTACCCATGTGATCACTTGAAGATTAGTGGTTCTGCTGCTTCTCTGCTACTCCAGGGCCAGAGCCCTGCAGCCACCTCTTTTTGAGGCCTTAACCCCTCCTGGGACATTGCAAGACGCTGGTCTCCGACTGATGGGAAGCACAGATCTCCTGTTCACCCCCCAGTTGGAAAATATCTCTTTTTTTCTTTCCCTTTTCCACTTTCCTCTCTAGCTCACTCTATTCAATGAGATTTCCCTTTTATAAAAGATGGGAAGTCCCAGTGCTTTCTGACTGCCTCTTCTTCTCACTTGCAGGATTTTAGCCAAGTAATCACAAAACTTGGGAACCTGTTTGAAATGGGGATCTTAGGGATCAGGTCCTAGCATGAGAGATCAGAGGAAAGAACAAATTAATATTTCAGCCTATTGTCCCACCACTCTGAAAACTCTCTACAGTACTCATCTTGTAGAAAATTGGCTATGCCAACCAACCTACCAATCAGGACCAGATAAAGAGGAAGAACAACTGCTATAGTCCTTGTACCAGCTCAGAAGAAGAAGCCACAGATTGTACCCACCTCTGCCCATGTCCCCAAGCATTGTCTCTCCTGAAAAATCTTATGGAGAAGCCTTCTTCAATTAGACTGGGAAAATAATGGGAGGTGCTCTTGTATTTTCAAAAACTCCTATTCTGAGTGAGTACCATGGGCCAGGCCTGAGTTATGACACTGGTGAATCTGCAGTCACCAGGACAGTCAGAGGCTCTGCCCTTGCTGGATGACAGTGGACCCTGACCTTGCACTTGTGATGGACTTTGCAGACTTCATTCCCCAGACTTCACTCTGGCAGTCAGTCACACCTATTTGGTCATTTCGCTTATTGGAATTATTTTGCCTGTCTTAAAGAGAATCTAAGATTCACAGTTTGGAGAAGAAAAAAGATAAAGGATTCTGAATCTTCTCCATGCCTCTTTTACATTTTACTGGAAGGAGAGTAATATGTCAGAATGGACCTGAAGTCCTATCTGAATTCTACTCATGGCTGCTGCTGCAATTAAAGGTTGCAACTATTTTAAAGGATGCTGATCTCAAGACATTGTGGAGTGTCTTCAATCCAGGGCTACTGTTCCAAAAATATGAAGGAGACTCTCTATATGTGGGGACATGTCGTTGGTTACTGTCATTGACTTTTTGTTTTGCAAATAGAGGAAAATGACAGAAAGTCACACGATTCTGCTAGATCTTTCCCACAAAATACCTTGATACATATCTGGAGACAGGGAAGGAGGTTGGAAAACTTAAAGCCGATGATGCACAGAGTAGGAGGAATCCAGAAGTGGAAGACATGATAGGGGCTTGGGAAGTTCGTGGAGAGTTTCCATACACAAGGATTTAAGTGAAGAGTGAGTCACTATTGTAAAGCATGAAAAGGACAGAGTGTGGCAATCAGTGCAAAGTAATTCATCATAAACGGTTAGGAATGTAAGAGGGAAGTGAAATAGATCTTATTTGGGATAGGCTAGCTAACTACCCCCCGAATGTAATCTATTATATGAGAATACTTATGAGTCTTTTTTTTAAATTTTATAAACATACATATCAAGCATACAAGACAGTTTAGGAAGCATATAGAAACCAGGTTTGGCATGTGTTTTTTCGGAAGAGGTCTGTCTCTCTAGCTAAGGGGATACTGAAGAATAATCCCAAAGTAAGAGTGAATTCACATCTCTCTCTCTTTTTGGGGGGGGCGGGGGAGGATTTGAGATGCCTTTGGGCTCTTGCTTTCTTTTTCTTTTTTTCCATGTGTTGCAGGTTCTGCCTGCTGCCGGTGAGATGTGGCCATGTCCTAATGTCTCTCGCCTCTCCTACTGGGTTTGAGTACCAGTCCCTGGCCCCCTTGGCAGACCTGTGCCCACGAGTGCCAGAAACAAACAGAAATATGCAGATGGTACACTGTCCACAGAGAACAATACTGACCTGCAGGATCTGTTCTGATCTCCAGGCTGATGTGCTTTTATGAAGAAGGGTTGGGGAAGAGTGCCCATTTCTCACTTGGCCATTCAGTTCCACCCTATGTGATACCTGTGTTGAATTTATGGAGTTTTATTCACAATGGCAGTGCCCGGGGAGAAGAAGCTGAAGGAGTCTAAGATCACACAGCTCAGTGAAAAGGGCTGGGTAGGGACTGTGGTGAACCATGGAGCCTCTGGGGGTGTCCAAGCAGGACCGCTGCCATTCATCTCCATGACAGTGGCCATGAGAGAAGGCAGACCTGGAGTCACTAGGATTCCAGTGTTCAAGAGAAACTGAAAACCTAGATTTTTCATTCTAGTATTTTAGTTTCCAAATGCTATTAAGAAATGGTCGTGTAGGCATTGTGTATATAAACATACACAGTCTACACAGGGTACTTCAGGGAAGGGAATCATGGTAAAGGGAAAAATTTGTACTTTAAAAAAAAATCCTGAAAAAATTGAGATAAAAGAGGTGAGACAGGATTGGTATGGGTTGAAAACTTGCCTGGCATAAGCCCTGGGTTTGATTCCCCAGCAGCAATAAATAGACAAATAATAAAAAATGAGACAATTGAACTTCACTGATATCAGGTGGCAGAACCACACAGAATGAATTTCAAGTGACTTTGAAATCCAATAATTTGTGCTTCCTTAGTAGGTAGGCTATGCTTTAAAGATTTTTAAAAACAAATGAATTTTAAATTGTTTTTATTAATCATGTCAGTTTTGTAGTAGCATTGGGGTTTTGAAACTGTTGTGTGTGTATTGCGGATTAAATCAGATGAATTATCATGAGACAAATTCATGGTATATTTTACTTAAAACTACAGAAAATACATGGTGGTTTTTATTTTACTTTTATTTAATGTTCTATACACTAAACTATTTTTTTGGCTTCTACAGAAGCAAGGGCTTATCCAGTAGCTATGAGAATGTAAATCTCTGCACTTTGGGTCTCTACATACCAGTTCCTGCTAAAATGACCCATGTTGTCACCATAGAGGCAAAAGATCCACCAGGTCACAATAAAGACTTGGGCGTTATCTTGAAGGGGTTCTTCTCCATGACCAAAGGCAGGAAAGTTAGAAAATTAAAAATAAAAATTTATGTTATGGAAAAGTGAACATTGACACTAGGTATTGGACATGAACAAAGGAATGATTGTTACTGTTACTTATAATGGGTGTGATATAGGGCAGAGGAAGATGGATACCCCAGGAATTTTCAGAAAACAGGTTTATTTAAGCTGCCATGGTGCAGAGAGGCTAATGCCTAAATATCTCTGGACCTGAGGTTCAGAAATTCTTTCAGATTTATACTCAGTGTCGGTCACATGTCAGTGGGAGTGGGTAGGAACGTAATAGTTACTCTTTGTCCTATAATCTTAGGCTAGACAGAGATTTCACACCACACGTTTTGTCTGAAAACCTGGCATTTATAAGAAACAGAAAGCTTCAAACCATATTGACCTCTCTCTCTCAAGAATTCCTGTGAAATGCTGTTGACACCCTTTGTTCTCTTGTCAGAAAGATTTTTACAAACTTAATTATGGGTACCTGGTCTGCTTCAGTTGTTTGATATTAATTAAGGAATGGTTGCTATTTGGAGGTGGGATAATGTATATGGATAATGTGGTCATTTTAAAACTGAGGGTCAGAGTAAGGGGGTCCAATAGACAGCAATAGCCAGCAATAGCCATGATATGATGATAGTTGAAGATGGGTGACGACTACCTAGATGTTTCCTAGCCTTTCTCTTATATATATTTTAATAATAAAAAAATAATAAAATATTAGTTAAAGTGACAGTAACTTATTTGACTTCTTAAATGTCTATTGAGCCAAACATGCCATGTTTAAAAGTCAGATGTGACCCACAAGTTGCCAGTCCATGCCAATTTCTGCATGGACATCAGGAAACCAGATCTTGCCCTTGAACCTCGAGGGTCATCCTTCACTTTCTTTCCACCCACCTCCTGCCTCCGTTCCTCCTGCTCTACTTAGCAATAAGTTCCTCCCTCTCCTAGCCAGTTAGTGACTAAGGGGCATTACAGATTGCTTGAAAGAGAATTTTCTCAGAAGTGAGCCAAAGGGATAATCTGCATAATTGTATTGAACAATGCCTCCTCATATTTTCTGTGTTCATTTGGACTTCCCTCATTTTGCTCCTTCAAATATTAAAAAAAAAAAGCAATAACTTTGTTTCAATTTTTGACAGCCTGGGGTATTTTGAAATTTTGGCTAATCACATTTTCCCTGTTATCTCTGTGTCTCTATTTCAGGATGGAATGGGAAATTTGAGAATCACAGAAAAAGGTCTAAAGCTAGAAGGAGACTCAGAATTCTTACAACCTCTCTACGCCAAAGAAATCCAGTCCCGACCGGTAAGTTTCTGATGGAAAGAAGGAAAAATGATTGTTCCTCTGGAATCTAAACCCAGGAAAATGTATTTTGCTGTCAGCAAAGACAAACAAGTGGGGAGGAAGAGCTGATAAAGGTAATCAGATGGACTGGGATTCAAATCTGAAGCCTTGGGTTATAATCACAGCTGTGTTACTGGGAACAAGTGGAATGACTTCTCTGAGCCTCTTTCCTTTTTTCAGACAGAGGTTAACAACCCTGCTAACTAACCATAGAGACTGTATTGCACATTGGGTAATATAATAAATATGGAAAGCCTTAAATACTATACAAATGCAAGATAATATTGTTAGTATTTTTAGTCAGCCTGGATTGCCCCACACTTACGATCCCAGCTACTCAATGGCTGAAGCAGGAGCATTGCAAGTTTGAAACCAGTCTGCGCAAATTAGTGAGACCCTACCTTAAAAAGACTGGGGATGGCTCACCAGTGGAGTACCGTACAGTTCAGTCCCCAGCACCAGGAAATAAGAAAAAGTTTTGATATTGCTTTTAATTGTCAAGTTTCCAAAGCCAGCTTTGGAAACACAGAACTAAAAAATTAGATTCTCATTTCTTGATTTTGTTTGGATTATGTAACCAGTGTTGGTTAGAATCAATTCATTATGACAAAGAATATTCTGAAATTATACTGACTCTCTGTGGAGCAAGTGCCCTCATCTGGGCACCTTACTACTTTCCATGCATTATCATATCAGTATCCAATTCTTAGGTTGGTCCAATGGGGTAGGAATTATTATTGTTCCATTTTACAGATTAGGTAATTAAAACTTAGAGAAGTAATATTGTCCAAAGCTATACACTTATGAAATATCAGGGTCAAAATTTCATTTCTGGGTATCCAATTCTAAAGCTTTTGTGTTAACCATGGTCTCCTACAAAAACCTTTACTTTCATTTAGTTTTTCTTTTTTCTTTTTTTTTTAATCATGATGGAAGTGATTCCTGCATACCTTGCTTTTAATAAAAGATATCATCAAAATTTATTGTAGGCATGTTTTTAGGTTTGTTTGTTTATTTTTTTCTTTTGCAGGGCTGGTAAAATTTGCTTTTCTAAAAGGTTGCTAATGTATTTACTCTGCCCAGGATAGATCTATATCCACCTGCAAGCACAGAGCAACATGAAAGTTTCCCAAAGCGTTATTTGCATTGTGTGCATTGATTAGCATAATTAATGAAATTCAGCAGCTTGGTGCAGTGGTTAATTTTATCTGAATGTCATCTAAAGTCCTGAATTGTATTAAATTAAATGTAACTACTGAATTGCCAATAAGTTCACTTCCTGCCTTGGAAAAGAGGAGTCCGGATATTTTTTAAAAATCACTAAAACAGCAAAAATTCAGCTACACAATGATGATTTATAAAATTAAGCTAGAATCTATGGTGCGTTGACTTGGGTACCTAGATCCTAAGGGTATAGTCAGTATATTCACTGCTATGGAGGCATCTCTACCCTAGAAGAGTAGCATGGTGACACTGTAAGGAAAAGGAGCAGGTGCTATTCTGCTTTGGACTGAAGAGACAAATTTCAGGCATTTTAAAAGTACCTGTTATATGCGTTATCATTTAGCAATATCTAGTTCTGCCAATCTGGAAAGTTGGTTAAGGAAGTCATTTATTTGAATTACTAGTTGTTCATTAGTTTAGTAATCTTATCTGTATTAAGTATGTTTAACATACTAGTTTGGAGTAATCCCCTTGTGATTGCAAACTTGATGGCAAACTTTTTCTATAAAGGGTCAGAGAGTAAATATTGCAGGTTTCCCCCATCTCTGTTTTTACAACTAAACGTGAAAACCATTCTAGCTCAGGGACCATACAAAAATAGTCTATAGGCTATGTATGGTGTGCTACTGACTCTAATCTAAATTAATGATATTCCCATAAATATATGTGTGTTCTGCTTCAGTTGGATATGGTATGGGGAGTAAATTTTAGGATTATGGGTAAATTAATTAATACATGTTAAGTATTTCTTGGTATAGAATCAGGTCATAAAGGAATTAAGATATGTATTTTGGAAAACTTGAAACAATGCCTGGTGCTATGGACTCTGCATGAATTGAATTTAGCAAATATGTCAGCCGGTGCCATCTGTGAACTCAGTCAGCTGATCTCAACTCAGCGATCCACTAGTTTGGAAGCTGTAAAAATGGTTTCAAAAACTTGCTTTAATGTTGAAAAATCAGTGAGTTCAATTCAAGTCACTATTTAAAGAAAATGCAAAAAGTTAGAGTTCACTTTTTTACATTGTTAATATTTATTTTTCTTTTCAAAAAATAAATACTAAAGTCTTTTAGACCTGTTTCTGATAACAAAATAAATCTTCTAACTGAACAAGGAAAACGACAGTCGTGCATTACACAATAAAACATCAGAAAGACCCATGAGCTCTACCTAAACCTCGGGTGTAAGTCCAACCCCCCCCTCCTCCATTGCATGCCCCCCTCCTTCCAGCCACTGTTCTCACCAGTACTACTATAGAAGGCTCCTCACTGTCTGATGCCTTTTTGTATTAGGGTTCTCTAAAGGAACAGAATCAACAGGAAGGGTAATTATTAAAGGGGGACTTATTAGGTTGGCTTACACAACCAGAAGCTGGATAGTCCACAGTGGCTGTCTGCAGGCTGGAGAGTTGGAAGAACCAGTAGCTATGCAGTCCAAGAGGCTGAAGCCCCAGAATAAGAGAGATCAGTGATGCTACCCTAGTCTGAGACTGAAGGCTTCTGGAGAATATGCTTTGGAAGGGTGAAGAAGTGAGACTCCCAAGAAGCAATCAAGAACCTATTCAAGAAGAATCAGCTTGCATCTGCTCCTGTTTCCTTGTTCTTGAACTTTAATTCCATCCAAGCCATGATCCTATTGGACTGCAGCTGCCCACTCTTAGGTAGGGTCTCTGTTTCAGTTGGCTATCCCACATGCCAGTCATTCCTAGACAGACCCTCATTGACACATCCTTTGCATCTCTTAATCCAATCAAGTTGGCAATTCAAATTGACCATTACACTCTTACTCAGCTTCCTTATCCAAGCTGTAGCCAGCGTGGCCCACCTTCAACAAGTCTCATCCCCTTTGAAAAAGATTCTCCAGTGACTTCCCCTTGCAATTGTAATAAAATCCAAAGTCCTTACTTGTTAGAGTCTGTAAACAAGTCAGGATGGCGCCTGGCATTTTGCCAGAGGGAGTGGTTTGTGAAGTAACGCCAGCGAGCCATAAGTGTGGAGATTCCTTATTGGTTGACTGCTGTATCTAGTTTATGTTAATTAAGATAAGCTGTGTGGAATGTATAAATACCTCTGTTGTCCTACAACAAACAGCTCCCATTCCTGCTGTATCAATGTACACAAGTTGTTCATCACTCCCCGGTTATTTTGCTGCAGCCGGACTATGGCACTTACTGAGGCTTATAAAATTCTTCATCCCATGTTTTCCTTGGAGAGCTCCTTCTGGTCACCCTCATTTTGGCTCAGATGTTTGGAAAAATCATCTTCACCTAGCCAAATATAAATGGCACATTGCTCTCCCCACCCCAGCATTATTGGCATTATTTGACATTCTCATTTATAATATAGATTTGGAAGGGAAGAAGATCCTCTTGATTTTGTCTACTGTATTTCCCAGCCCTGTTGCTGTGCCTGGCATATGATATATCCTCAGTAGATGTATGTACATTGAATTTCCCTAAACTCTATTTGGAAGGCACAAGCACTGTTAACAACTTAGCATATTTTTTAGGCATTTCCCATGGGTACAATTTTTTATTTTCTTACAAAACTGTTTTTTGACAGGTGAAGTGACACATGCCTGTAATCCCAGCAGCTTGGGAGGCTGAGGTAGGAGATTTCAAATTCAAAGGCAGTTTCAGCAAAAACATGGTGCTAAGCAATCCAGTGAGACCTTGTCTCTAAATCAAATACAAAATAGGGCTGGGGATGTGGCTTAGTGGTCAAGTCCCTCTGAGTTCAATCCCCAGTATAAAACAAAACAACAAAACAAAACAAAACTATATTTTGCTTACTATTCTGTATTTTCTCCTCCAAATAACATGTGAGTTGTAAATTTTCTTGTAATATTTTAAATTCTAAGAGCTTTTTTGACATGTCTTGGCATGCAATGAACTACATATATTTAAATTGTACCATTTGAAATATATAATATACATGCTGACGCTATTACAATGGAGATAATGAATGCACCTATTACCCCTAAGGGAGTCTCCCTGCCTTTTTTTAAATCCCTCTGTCTAACCTAAACCACCCTACCTACTCCCTATAGCACCCCCAAGCACCACTGATCTATTTTTTGTCCCATATATTGCTTTGCATTTTAGAACTTCAGATAAATGGAATGATACCTGATGAGTATCTAAATACTTCCAGAGATAAATTTTTCACATCTATCAAGTTCTTTTTGAAAAAAAAATTTAATAAACTTGAAAATTTTTGTTTATGTATTTATTGCCTGCATTTGGTTTCTCAATTGGCCAGGGAGACGTGAGAAGTGGTTCAGGACTTAAACCTTTAACATTTCCATTTTGGAGGACTTCAGAGTGCATAGAAGGAAAGAGAGCAACTAATTAGGAATGAGAGCAAAGATAGAATTTTTGGTTCTTTGAAATGTTGCAAAAAGAGAAGACAAGGATTTTGGCATAGAAAAGTGAAAGAGTGAGAGGAGAAGGTCCCTTGCTTTAGTCTAGATGACCCACTCCCCTTCCCCTCAAGCCAGGGCTTATTGCAACTGAAGGCAGTTGAGGTTCTGATGTGGAGGAAGGTAGGTGGGTGGGGCAACTGTGGCTGGAGGCCAGAAGGCGTCACTCCTACCATAATCTCCCACCAGCTCCAGGAACCTTCCACCTGCTGGCGGCAGCTCCCCATGCTCCACTCTTTTCCTTTTCATCTCACTGCTTTTAGATGTGTTTGATTTCGATGTTTTGACCATTGCTTGTAGACCACCTCCGGAAAACT